CGTCTGCGCGAAGCGGTATGACACGGCGGAAATCCCAAGGCACCTGGTCAAGATGCGGGTAGCGAGGGCACGTAATCGTTTTCGTCGTCCCGTTCCGGTCTTCGTCTGTCTTTCCGTGGACTGGCTATCTCAGCTGTAGCCTTTAGGACTTGGGATCATCACGCCACATCAGATTTTCCTGGCGGCGCTATTCCAAGAAAGCCGCGATCTACGGGCGCATCGTCCTTGCACAGGTCTGCGCTGTTACGGTTTTCAATCTTCCGTGGCCATCATTTTAGCTGTTTACAGATAGGACCTTTTCGCTTCGGAGGTCCCACCAGTTCAGTTCCTTTTAGCTTATGACCGCATAAGTAATAAGTCGACTATCCAAGCTTAGTATGCTTTTAGGAACACTGCGTCAGATGCGAAACCTTTCACAGCGGGCCTTCCACGGCTGGCTTTTTTTCCTTTGAATATTCCGAACTGAAATTCTACATTCTTTAGCATGAAATACCTAAGCTTCGTCATGTCAGGCTCAATCGGAGCAAAGCTGCGGCACTTAGGAAGTCAGTAGGTGACATTCCCGTTCGTAACTAGCTGCGAAAACTTATCCGACACGCTCCTGGTCAGAGGATGATCCGTGGGGCATTATAGGTGGGTCAGCTTGCACTGGAACGCTGCCGGAAGGTTTACTTAGGGTTTTAGGGGTTTAGACATGCAGTTGTTGCCTTCGAAGCCATGGTTAGCCCATAATTGAAGCTGTTGACAATATATTAATTTTTATGCAGGTTTAGGCTGTCATGACTATTATTTGTTTTGCGGTGACGGCAAGTGTCCACTTCTTAATGGTTCGATGGCGGCCGCCATTCACGCATTCCAGGGTAACCAGGAGCACATACCAAAAGGTAGGTGAGCGTTTGGACAGGGCTGGGTAGTAGGCCTAGACGCCTTCGGCGGTTTAAGTATGGAGGTCACTTTGCTCAAGGTTTACAGTCTCTTAGGATCAGCACCATCTCTGAACTAGGAAATATTCTTCCATCTGGTTGTATTAGCTGAGACAATTGGCTGGAACGCTGACGAAACCTGCAACGTGGATTGTGCCTTTCCCCAGCTTAACCCGTTTCGGTCGACAATCGCGTTTGTTTGTGTGCTGACAGGCAGAGGCTAGAAGATCTGGTGCGGAGCGATCTGAACAACAGTCCTCCTGGTGGGTTCGTCGTCATGGCTATTTGACATCGTTTGACCACGCGGCGGCAATAAAACAACACAGCGGGAGCAATCTGTCGCTACACGGCCCGGGCGTACTTGCAATGTACGTCATGAACTTCAGGTCGCTCACAATATCGATGCTCTGCGATTGGTCATACTGCTTATATTATTGAATGTCGAACGTGTTGTTGGAGTCGTGCAAACATGTTTGGCTGGCGGCCTGCAGAGACAGCAACAGCAGTACTGCGCGCTTACTGCTGCTACCGCTGCGTCTCCTGGAGGTGAGCACGCTTGAGGGTTGCGACTTCTGGCACGTGCGTCCGGGCAAATGTCTTTTGCAAATGTGTATACGGCATACGTCGTGCCCGAGCAGCATATGATGCAGAGAGAATGCGTGAGTTCGTGGTTAGGTGCAGGCACGATCAGCGCGCACTATGGCGGGCCTTGGGAGGGCAACTCAGGGAGCGTTGTGCAATTGACGACTTGCATGTATTTCGGGATCACTTTGCCACCTTGTTAAACGCAGGAGTTGGGGAGACGGGTGTTGAAGGTGCACATCGGCTCCTTAACTATATCTCCTTTTTTTCGGCCCCTTTGGGAGAGGGTGCTTGGCAAGCATGCCGGACTGTCATGGACAGGAGAGCACGGGCAGCTAGGATCCTGGATGAGCCTTTCACCTTGGAGGAGGTAGCGCGTGCTGTCGGTAGGTTACCAAACGGAAAGGCTCATGGGCTTGAGGCCGTACCATCGGAATGTTACCGTTATGCATGCCTCCCACGGGTGGATGAGCAGGGCAGGCAGGGAACGGAGGTGAACTGTATCGTCCCAGTGCTGCACGTTTTGTTAGAGCACATCAGGGCAACTGGTGACTTTCCACAGCAGTTTACCAAAACGGTGGTATCCCCAATTCTGAAGAAGGGTGACCCGTTGGTGGCAGGAAATTATCGGGGCATTGCAGTTGGAGGAGCTATGCGTCAGTGATCCTTAACCGCCTGGTACGTGCTAGGGAAATACTGGACCTGCGGCACCCATGCCAAGCGGGTTTCAGGCGGGGTTTCGGCACTGCTCACCACCTCTTTGTCAAGCAACACCTGGTCAGGCGGCATCGGATCGCGGGGCAGCCGCCGTTGATAGTAGTACAGATTGACTTTGAGAAGGCCTTTGATAGGGTGCCTCGCGAGCACATGTGGCTTCGGTTGCAGGAGAGGGGGATTAGCGGCCCCATGCTAGATGCTCTGAGGAAAGCGTACGAGAAGATGTCCATGGTGATTAAGGTAAATGAGAAAGTGGGGGGAGAGTTTGAGTCTAAGCAAGGCGTGAAGCAAGGGTGTCCTTTATCTACGGAGCTGTTAGGACTCTTCATTGAGACACTAGCCGATCTGATTGATACTCATGACCTTGTAGAAGCTGGAGTGCGGAAGTATGACGCACCCCTTGTGGACAGCAAGCGCGTCTCCATACTGTTGTATGCAGACGATGTTAGTCTGCTAGCGACGTCACTAGAGCGAATGTCTGAGTTGCTATATCTTGTGGACTTGTTTTGCGAAGCCTTTGGGATGCGACCAAGTGTCTCAAAGTGTGAAAGGCTTGTTTTTGCATGTGACGGCACCCAGCAGTCGGATCTTAGCGGGAGATGTCAACAGTTACGGCTATCTATCAGGCCAGGTAGTACCTGCCAAAGATAGCGCTCGCTATCTGGGCTTGGTATATGGGCCAGAACGGCCTTTTAGTGCGTGCCGTCAGCAGTTGTGTGATACAGGTCGGTCCGCTATGTTTTCCTTAAGCGCAAAGCTGGACAAAATGAAGCTGTTTGCCCCCGATGTGCGAATGCGGTGTTTTGCAACCCAAGTCCGAGCAATTCTGTTGTATGGCTGCCAGGCGTGGGGCCCTTTTGCGCTGGCAGAGGTCGTGGACAGGGCGGGAAGGCGGCGGGATAAAGCCAACCTTGCGGAGGGCATGTTCGAAGCCTGTTTGAAGGATAGTGCAGTCCAGCTGCAGATTTTATTCATGAGGCAGGTAGTGGGGACGGCACGGCCATCCCACAGGCTGTTGTACGCGGAGCTGGCTGAACTCCCTTACAGTATTACATGGTGAAGCAGATTCTCCGTTTCTGGAACCGCCTTCAAAAGCAAGTGGGATCCATTGCTCATGCCGTTTTACGGCAGGAGATAACCGATGCCCTGACCAACCCGGAATGGGAGGGTTGGGGAATCTCAATGTTACGACTGTTTTCCTTCTTGGAGTGCAACATTTGGAGCGGAATACCGCAAGAAGTCGTGGGGGTAAAGGAGCGTGTTGACTGGTTGTTGAGTAGACCTCTACCAGAAGGAGCGATAATAACGGCACTTAGAGAGCGTTTGATGAGTGGCTGGGACCATACGCGTCTGACTGTCTTGCCAGAGGAGTACCCATCAGATGGGAAGCAACCGGGAGTGCAAATGGCGAAGTATAAGCACTGGATGGGGCTGCCCTTTTCGGGAGCCGCAGCCGTCATGTGGCCAACATATGCTAAGGTTTTCATTCCTCGTTTAGCACATCGTAAGCTAATGCAGTTTCGTTTATGTTGCTGGGCTTTGGAGGCAAACAGAGCACGAAGGGGCAAGTACCATGTCCCCAGGGGGCAGCGGTTTTGCCACTGTTGTGGTACTAATAGCCGAATTGAAGATGAAAAACACGTGTTATTGGAATGCCCAGCCTATAATGATATTCGTGCTGAAGAGGGATTCGATCATTAACAGAGTATGTTGGAGGCCATGCAATGGGAACCCGCACGTCTGGCGAGGATGTTGGAACGTATGTGGGCTCACCGAAACTCAGTTACCCCCTTTGGACGCTAGTCTGGGCTGATGTGCGGTGTTTTTTCCTTTTCTCCGTGGCTTTTAGGCGTTGTAGTATTGCCCTTGGGCCTTCGGCTCGTATGGGTAGTCTTACAGGTATGGGGTCACGCACCCCCCAACCATGTAACACACACACACACACACACACACACACACACACACACACACACACACACACACACACACACACACACACACACACACACACACGTATACGGCATAGACCCGGCGATGTTGGCGAAGGAGGAGCCACCCACACGGTTGCGGGTGTATCGAGATGAAGCCAATAATGCGGCGGTGGTGGTGGTCCTGGAGCTGGTGGCGGTGGATGCTGTGCTAGGCATGGATAGGGTGGCAATACTTCTGATCCGGCCCTTGTGGGGCAGTTGTGGGTTCGAGCCCCCCCAGGGATCTCGAGGATACCACCGTGGTTTGCGTGATTGCTGCTCCCCCACCCGGGGGTCGCTCTAATCAGGTTTCACCGACCGAGCTGTCTCGCTTTGCCGCTGCGCGGGTCGTCGCTGCCATGTCGCGGCGGGTCGTGGCGCACGGCATGGAGGTCCTTGCTTAGAAGTTGACAATATCGCCTTCATCAGGAGGCTAACGGAGTTTAAGCATAAGTGAAGCTCGACCAGCTGATCATGTGGCCCTTTCCAAAGGGAGAGGTAGGGGGGAGAGAGACACAATATAGCTGATGTCGGTGTTTGTGCCATGGCTAGCATCCGCGCCGAACGCTGCCCGCAGCTGTAGCTGCGGGTACGATTACCGATAATGAATTATTAGGGTAGCATCGTCGTACTCATACGGTCACTTCCAACCCCTTTATTACAATACATACATACATACATACATACAACAGCAGCAACAGCCGCAGCAACAGCTACAGACGCAGCCGCATGAGCAGCAACCCCAACAGCAGCAGCCAGAGATGCCAACGGCGGGGGACATGGCGGCTCCAAGCACCCCCAACAGCACTCAGGCGATGGCTATGATCCTAAAGCGGGTCGGATGGCAGATACCGGGCGGCACAACAACCGTCCCACTCACACGCCTGACGGTCCGCCTAGCGACACAGCTGCAATGCGGGGCCACCGAGGAGAAACGGGGACGCTTGATGGCAGCATTTGTGCAAGAAGCGTTGGACCCGCAGGAAACGGCACCTTCCTCCTCAGCGGAAACAAGCCGCTTCAGGGCGACGCAAGCCCGCTTGTGGTCGGGGGTGCGGTGGGAGAACGAGAACAAAGAAACGCTGTGGCGGCTCGCCGTGGACGGCATCCCCCTGCCCGGCAACACGCACCTGGCCCGCATGGTGCCTGAGCGCTGTGGGTGTGGAGGGTTCGGCAACGCCAGCAACCAGCACTGCTCCCCACGCATGCACCACTTCTGGGAGTGCCCCGTCGCACAAGCTGTCCGGGAGCAAATTGACCGACACATACAGCCCTCCCAGGAGGCCGCGAC